ATATTGTAATACACTTATCGTGGTGAGCATTTTGTAATGTGTGTAATGTATATAGTGATTGTTGAATCACTGTGTTGTACACCTGAAACTAATTTAATATACGTCGAGAATACTTCAATTAAAAATAAAAAAAATCAGTTGACTACAAATGTCAGAGCATTTCCAGACTCTGAATTTTATTCCATTGATCAGTATGTCTGTTCTTATGTCAGTACCACACTGTCTTGATTAGCGTGTCTCCATGATAAGTTTTGAAATTGGGGAGCAGGTCTTCCAACTTGTTTTTTTCCAAGATTGCTTTTGGGCCATCCTGGAACCCTTACATTTCTGTATGACATTTAGGATTGGTTTGTCAATTTCTGCAAAAAAAGAGCCAGGACGGATTTTGACAGGGATTGCATGAAATTTGTGGATTAATTTAGGAAGTATTGTCATCTTAACAATATTGAGGCTTCTGATCCATGAACATGAGATGTCTTTCCATTTATGTAGTCCTTCTTCCATATCTTTCCATTGTTTTATAGTTGTCAGTGTACAAGTTTTGCTGGTTTTGCTAAATTTATTCCTAAGTATATTATTCTTTTTGATGCTGTTGTAAATGGATTTAAGAAAAAATTCATTTCTGGATTTTTCATTGCTAGTGTTATAAAAATGTAATTCTATACATTAATTTTGTCTCTTGCAACCTTGTTGAACTTGTTTATTTTGGTGTGTTTGGATGTGTATTCCTTAGGATTTTCTATATGCAAAATCATGTCATCTGTGTATAGAGATAATGTTTTTTTTTAAAATCTGGATGCCATTCATTTCTTTTTCTTGCCTAATTGCCCTGGCTAGAACCTCCAGTCAAATGTTGAGTAGAATTGGCAAGAGTGGATTTCCTTGGATCAGATTTTTAATGTTTAGTGGTTTGGAAATACGTATTACGGACAGTGATACTTTGGGAACTTGAAAATCCAGCTTTATGTCCTCTTGTAGTAACAAAAGTAGTAAAATCTTTTATTTTAAGTTTATTTATTTTGAGAGCGAGTGGGGAAGGGGCAGAGAGAGAGGGAGAGACAGAATTCTAAGCAGGCTCTGTGCTGCGAGCACAGAGCCCGACACGAGGCTTGAACCCATGAAGTGTGAGATCATGACCTGAGCCAAAATCGGATGCTTAGCCCACTGAGCCACCCAGGTGCCCCAAAACTTCTGTTGGAATTTAGCATGCTGTTTATTTTTTGAATATTAATATGCACAATAGAGTCTAGCTTGGCTTTTTCCAAAACTTCAGTGCCTCTGCTTTGTTAGCCTTATGAATTTGTTTTCTAAATGTCACTGAAGTAGGCCAACTGTGGGACTTCTAAAAACATTATCTCTAATGTATATGTCCTAAGGAATTGTGTGTACTGAGTAGAGTTGAATAAGAATGAGTAATCAGGATGTTCATATTGTCTCTATTAGTGCTACTTAGTCTTAGTTTGGGTTAATAATGCTTTACAGTTAGCACATTTGAAGTAAGTTTATAATTTGTGATAGATACAGTTGACAAGCAGAGATAATGATAGTGGGTAAGGTGATGAGGAGGTAGTGATTATACTACTTTTGATAATTTAATTCTACATCCAACTTCTGAAAAGCATATTTTCCTTTTTAACCCTTTTAAAAAATTCCAGTATAATTAATATGCAGTGTTATATTAGTTTCAGGTGTACAGTGTAATAATTCAATAATTCTATACATTTCTCAGTGCTCATCAAAATAAGTGCATTCTAGGGGCGGCTCGGTGACTCAGTTGGTTAAGTGTTCGACTCTTGATTGTGGCTCAGGTCATGATCTCACAGTTTGTCAGTTTGAGAATCCCTCCTCAGGAGTCTTTCTCCCTCCTTCTCTCTCTGCCCCTCCCCCGTTCATGCACACACACGTGCTTTCTCTCTGTCTCTCTCTCTAAGTAAAAAACTTAAAAAAATAAGTGTACTCTTAATCTCCTTTATCTATTTCCCCCATCTGCCCAGCCACCTCCCCTCTGGCAACCACCAGTTTGTTCTCTAATTTGTTCTCTGTATTTAAGAATGTGGTTTTTTTTTTTTTGTCTCTTTTTTTCTTTGTTTTGTTTCTTAAATTCCACACATAAGTGAAATCATATGATATTTGTCTTTCTCTGACTAACTTATTTCACTTAGCATTATAACGTCTAGGTCTATCCATGTTGTTGCATATCGCATTCTTTTTTATGGCCGAGTCATAATTCATCATGTGTATATACCACATCTTCTTTTTTTTTTTTTTAAAAATTTCTTAACGTTTATTTATTATTGAGGGACAGAGAGAGACAGAGCATGAGCATGGGAGGGGCAGAGAGAGGGGGAGACACAGAATCTGAAGCAGGCTCCAGGTTCTGAGCTGTCAGCACAGAGCCTGATGCGGGGCTCAAACTCACAAACCACGAGATGATGACCTGAGCTGAAGTTGGACGCTTAACCGACTGAGCCACCCAGGTACCCCTATATACCACATCTTCTTTATCCATTTATCTATCGATGGGCACTTGTGTTGCTTCTTTATCTTCGCTTTATAAATAATGCTACAGTAAACATAGGGGTGCATATAGCATTCTGAAGTAGTGTTTTTGTTCTCTTTGAGTAAATATGAAGGGTATATTTTCTTGCTCATATTTATTCTCTATAGAAAGAGGTGGAAGTAACTCTTCTGTACTTTATTCCTTATTATAGATTGTTAGTACTTAGATATCCAATTCAGAAAATAGAATTTTGTTAAATATATTGAACATTTCTTGAATATGTTCTGTATGTTACTCTTTGCCCCATTGGAAACACCAAATAAGTACAAGCCTGTTCATTCTCTGAATGCTTGCAAGATATTTAGGAAAAGCAAATGTTTGTCCTTGTACTGCTCTGTATTTGTGGTTCTCTGTGTATATCCTGTCTCCCTGACTAAATGTAAGCTCCTTGAGGAGAACCATCCTTATATTGACACAGTGTGTATCACAGTGCCTCACATATACCATGTGTTTATTATGAATTTTTGAAATCAGTAGAACAGGAAAAAAACAATATAATACTACAACTAAATACTCAAGTGAATGGTGTCACTAGTCAGTATTGTTGAATGTGAGGCAATGATGATTGGCGTGTACTGGATTTATCAGGAAAGTCTTCATGCAAGGCAGGATTATTAAGTGGACTTATAAAGTCCACTTATAAAGGATAGGTAAGAACTGAGCAAGGCAAAAGGGCATTTCAAGTAGGTGTCATAGTTTGGAGGTCAGTAAGCAGATCATATCGACTGGAATGGAAGGTTGGTATTGGCTTGTAGATAGAAGGGTGAACCAATAAGTAGGATCGTCATATTTCAGAGGCCTTTAAGGCTAGTTTGAAAGATTTGCCCTTTACTCCATTTGACATTAGCAAATCATTGAAGTTTTTGGAGCTAGAAGGTTTTGGGGCAAAGCATTACTTTAAGAATGTTTACTTGGTGATAGCATATATTATGGGCTGGAGGGAAACTTGTACCAGGAGACCACTTAGGAGGGTATGAAAATAATTGAGTTCTTCTAGTCTGTCGATTCTTAAAGAGCAGAGTTTTTTCTTTTATCTTTAGTGGCTAGCATAGTGGCTACAGCAGAATTCAATTTTACTTTTTTTTGTTGGATGCATGAATGCATGAACTAGGTCATCTGGGCCTGGAGAGAGCTGTTAGCAGCAGGAAATACCCATGTGAGAAACATTTTGGAGGGAGAATTGAGGTGACTTGTTTTCTAATAGTATAAAGAGTGCGTAAGGTCAAAGAGGACACTCAAGTCACAGCATGGAGGATTAAGGAATCTCTAGAAATAGGAAAATCAGCTAGGGGAAGTGAGGAGCGAGAAAAGGGAGAGTCAGAGCATGTTTTTAGACTTGCAGAGTTTGAGACTGAAACACATAGTGCGTAGAGGTAGAGAGGCTCAAGTGAGAACTGAAGTCTAAGTGTATTAATTTGGATATTACTATGAAGATCCTGTCTGAGCAGGAAAAATGATTGGACTGATGAAACTCTGTGCGTGGGTACAGAGGTTGTATGCACGTGCACATGCATACACACTCATATGCTAGAACCCGGTACGTGTGTTCAATTGTCCGTACATTAATGTGCTGGTTGGTATTAGCAGAATGATGAGTACTGGTTCTTGGGGTGAGCAGAGGGGCAAAAAAAAAAAAAAATGCTAAAGAAGGAGACAGGAAAGGAACAGAGGTGGAAGAACTTAGCAACACAAATTTGTTAAGGAGACTTTGTAATTTGTCTTGTGTTTCAAGACGGTGTCAGCTAATAAATAATTAGGATACATTGTAGATATAAACCTGACCTTTTTGATTCCAAGCCAAATATTCTTTCCATTATACCAAAAGTTTGCGTGTTTAATTTTTTCAAGGCAAGGTCCTTATCTTTAGAGAAACCGTCTTCAGGAAAGGCTTCTTAATTAGCAGGCAATGATTGGACGGTAACATTTCTTATAGAAAAATCTTCATGTGCTTTGGATGTGGATGCTTCCACTTTTCTGCTTGGGTATTTATATTTGTAGTGTGGTAGGAGACAAAACTTCTGATTGCATGTTGTAGATAGGAATTTAAAAGAGGATATCATTTCTTCCATTTGAAGAATTAATCATTTAGAAGATGCTTTTCAAAAATTTATTCATTTATTTATTTATTTTGAGAGAGAGAGAGAACGCTCGGTAGGGGCAGAGAGAGAGGTGAGAGAGAATCCCAAGCAGAGAGAATCTGACAGCGCAGAGCCTGATGCGAGGCTTGAACTCATGAACCGTGAGATCATGACCTGAATCGGAATCAAGAGTCAGACGCTTAGCTGACAGTCACCCAGGCGTCCCTCAGAATTTTTTCTTTTTGTTAAAGTAAATGTAAACTCCTTTCTTTTTTTTTTCAGAAGTGTTTTTGATGCATTCCTCAGAACATTCATAAATTAGCAAGGAAATACAAAAGGCCTGATGTTTTCTTTTCTTTCAGGGGATATCATTTTCAATGCCCAATACCCAGAGCTGCCCCCTGATTTTATCTTTGGAGAAGATGCTGAATTCCTGCCAGATCCCTCGGCTCTGCATGTGAGTACTGCAGGCTCGTTTTGGATGATCTTTATTTGTTGAAGGAAAATAAAATTAGCTTTTGACAATCGCTTGACAGATAAATTTGCCAAACATGTGGGGTTTTTTCCACCCCTTTTTCCCTCTGTCCTCTGAAATAAGTACAACTCTTCATGTGCCAACATAGTTTAAAGATTTTTTTTTTCATTGCAGTTTTACTTGCAGACTATTTTGAATTAAAATCTGTAGCATATCGGTTAAAATATTTTTACTTCAGCTTAAAGAGACATGTTGAAGAGATTTCTTTATTTTAACTTAATATTTCATGCCTGCAATCAATTTTCTAATGTTTACTAACACTTCATCACAGAGCTTGTTAGGGGAGTGTTTCTTGGCTCTTCAAGAGGCCTTTTTTGTATAGAAGTGAAAGTGGCAAATTTGGACTTGTATCCATATTATCTCAGTATTATTATCAGAAGGGTAAAGATCAGATTAAGTGTTCTTTATTAAGCAAGACCAGAAACTTTGTAGTTAAAGTAAAATATTTCTGGGGTTAAAGCAGGGAAAGGAGCTGTGGTACTTGTCAGAGCACATGTGGTTTACATAAAAAATTGTGTGTTTCACATTGCTCGTGGAGAAAAACATGTGCCATTTTGTTTAAAAGGTCTGACCAGACAAGATGTCTCTTTCTTTCCCTTCTCAAGTTCAGTTTTGCCATGATGCCTATACTATAAGAGGGTTTTATTGTTCAAAACTATGTCCTTTGTTTGGTCTTTTTTGTCTCAAAGTTTTGTAATTAAAAATTTTGATGACTTTGAAATCTTGTGCCCCCCCCTCCCTTTTTAAAAAGGGAAGTGTTAAACAGGAAGTTTTAACCCAAACCTAAAGAATTATCTTAAATTTTGGAACACAGCCGTAAAAATGTGATTGGCAAGAGTAGGCTGGGTTTGTTGCAAAATTTCTAATAATTACACTCAAACTGCTAGTTGATTTTCAAAAATGTGTAGTTTAAGCATGGTCCCTTTGGATGCTACGTGTTACACATTGACCCCATATTGAAGCGGAGGGGCTTACCTGGAGTTAAAGAGTCAGAAGTATCTCTACAGACCTCTTCTGTGTTAAATCTGCCCAGTGGAGGGTAACATATGCGAAATGCCAAAGATGTATTACAGGCTAAGTGCTCCAGGAATTTAAAGAAGGTTGTCAGAAAAGGCTTTGTAGTAGAGGTGACACTTGGACTCACTCTCAAAGAATGGAGCCTAAGTAGGGAGTATGGCAGAGAGAATTTCAAACAGGGGGCATGACATAAGCAAATGAAATGTATAATGTATTGTAGCGCTACAGACAGGCTTGCTGAAGTGTAAGTTAATATAAGGAAGGGCTGGAAAAGGTTAGAGAGGGAAGTTGGGACAAGATTGTGGAGAACATTGAATGCTAGGTTAAGAGCCACTGAAGGAAATGATAATAACAGAATCATTCAGTAGCAATGTGGTCAGTATAATGGATCAAGGAAAGGGTAAGGAGCAGAACTGAGGACTGTTGCCAAAATCTGGGGGAGGGCGAAGAAAGGGGCTTTGAGCTAGGATGATACAAGAGGGAATACCATGAAGGAAAGGATAAGAAATATTTACAACTTCTTTTTTGGGAATTGCCTTTAAAATTTGCAAGGCACATCTTCTATATTGAAAAGTATTGTGAGAGTGTAGAATTTAAAACCCAAAAGGACCTCGAGGTTCAGCTTATTCCACTTTTCTGTTTTATTTTATTTTTTATGGGTTTTGAAATTCTTTTTATTTTAGTATTTTTTGAGAGAGAGAGCGCCTGTGCAAGGGTGAGTGTGCAAGCAGGGGAGGGGCAGAGAGGGAGGGAGAGAGAATCCCAAGCAGACTGCACACCCAGTGCCTAGTGTGAGGTGGGGCTCGATCTCACCACCCTGAGATCATGACCTAAGCCAGAATCCAGAGTCAGATGCTTAACCGACTGAGCCACCCAGGCACCCCGCTATTTTTCTATTCTAATACTGAGAAAATGGACCTAGAATTGTATAATTGTGTCAGAGTTGATACTATAACTCTACTCTTCTTATATTTAGTCCCTGAGTGAAGTTTTTGCAGGTGTTTTTGAGAAATTAGCTGAAGAGGAACAGCCAAAAAAAAAATCAAAGCACTATGTCTAAGAGGACAATTACAAATCTAGGGGAATGCTTTCTTCAGCTATAGTCAATCTGAGGACTCAGGCAGGCTACCCAGTGCTTCTTCCGGCACCAGTGGTTTAGGCAAGTCTAGAAAAGCAACCAAGGGACACCATCTACCAGCTGGTGAGGTCCACCCAGCCCTAGAGGTACTCTGGATGTTCATTGTCATCTGGCTAAAACACTAGGACAGGATAAATGTCAGCAGACGTCTCCCTGAGCATAGCATGCCTCCAAAGGACTTTTCCCTCACCTGTTAACAGGTTATGGTTTAATTCTTCAATTCAGGTCAGCCTTTTTTCCTTCCTTCCTGCAGTGTGCAGAACACAGTCACTAATAACCTGATTAGTCCGTATGAAGTTCTGAATGAAGGAGGGATTACATATTTCATCACCTATGGAGCGGAGAACAGAATGTCTAGAGTTTTTGGATTTTCCCCTTGAAGTACTAATTGCAGGAGGGAATGAATAGGTACCCTTAGATTCTGGGAGTGTAGTCCAAAGTAGTCGCTGTGGCAAATATGGAATTTCCCTGAAGTTACTGGGTTTTATCTTCAAAATTAATAAAAATTATTTTGCGTTTGATTCCATAATATGCTTGTGCTCTTTAATAAAAAGTGTATTAAATTACAAATATTTGAGAAAAAAATGTGTTCCACCTTGAGAAATACAGTTTTTGAGAATATTTTATTTATTCAATTTGTTTAAACTGGCTTCTTTCCATGAAAGGATTTGAAGTAAATTAAATAAAGGATGCACATAAAGTCAATAAAAATATGTGAGGTGCTCTAATCCATCAGATGAAGTCACCTCTTTCCACACTCAAGCTCTTCATTCACAGAGATGAGTTTCATTAAGGACTTTGAGATCCTCAGATGAATGCAAAATACTAGATAGAGATACCAGATCCAGATAAATACTAGATAGACACCAGAGACAAGTATCTCATGGACACCAGAGTCATAAAATCATGGAGTTATAAATGTAGTTGTCCAGTGGTTCCCACTTCTGGCTATCCATTAGAATAATTTAGGAAGCCTGTTAAAAATACAGATTCCTGGATCCCACTGGAATAGCGAATTACACCTGTTAGGGAGCTGAAGAGTCATTAAATTCTCTGGGCCATTTCTATGTATTAGTTTGTGAACTGCTATTGGGAATCACTCATTGAACCCATCTTTTATAGTAACGTCTCCAACAGAAGGTCATTTGTCTTTGCTTGACATTGTTTCCAGTGAGGTATCATTTTCCATTTTGGGGACAGCTTCATTTCTTTTCTTTTCTTTTTTTTTTTAATTACCAGCTTTATTGAGACATAGTTTATGTGCCATGCAATCCGCCCATTTAAAGTGTATAATTCAGTGGTTTTTAGTATATTGACAGAGTTGTGTAACCATTGCCAGAGTTGAATTTACATTTTTAAAAACTGAAGTATAATTGACATTTTAACATTATTTGCTTTCAAGGGTACAACATAATGATTTGATATTTGTATTTATTGCGAAGTGATCACCACAGTGTCTAGTTAACATCTGTTATTATCAAAGTCAAATTTAAACATTAGCAGTCACTTCCCTATCCTCCCCACTCCTACCTGTATCCACTCTAAGCAGTAACTATTCTGCATTCTGTCTCTGTGGATTTGCCTGTTCTGGACAGTTCCTATAAATGGAATCGTACAGTATGTGATCCTTTGTGACTGACCAGTTTCATCAGCATACAGTTTTCAACGTGTCATGTATCACTACTTCATTATTTATTGCTAAATAATATTACATTGTGTGCATATACCACATTTTATGTATCCATCATCAGTTGATAAACATTTGGGTTGTTTTTATGTTTTGGCTATTATAAGGACTGTTTTAATTGTTCTTGGATATATCCCTAGGAGTAGAATTGCTGTGTCAAATGGTGACTATGTTTAGCTTCTTGAGAAACTCCCAGGCTGCTTTCCAAAGTGGCTATACCATTTTACATGCCCACCAGCAGTATATAAGTGTTCCAGTTTCTCCACACCCAAATAACCAAAATTTGTTATTATCTGTGTTTTTGATTATAGCCTGTGAAGTGGTATCTCATTGTGGTTGTGGTTTGTGTTTTGCTGATGGCTAATGGCGTTTTGCATCTTTTCATGTCCTTATTGGCCATTTTTATAACTTCTTTGGAGAAGTGTCTGTTCAAATCCTTTGCCCATTTTTTAAATTGAGTTATTTGCCTTCTGTTGTTGAGGTGTAAGAGTTCATTGTATATTCTGGATATAAGGTATATGACTTGTCACAATTTTCTTCCATTCTGTGGATTGTCTTTTAAGTTTCTAGGTAGCATTGTTTGAAGGACAAAAAATATTTAAGTCTAACTTCTCTGCATTTTATTTTGTTGTGTGTGCTTTCGATTTCACATCTAAGAAACCATTGCCTAGTCCAAGGTTATGAAGTCTTACTATTATCTTTTCCTTAAAAACTTCTGGAATTTTTTTGCTGACATTTAGGTATTTGATCCATTTGGGGTTAATTTTTGTGTATTGTGTGAGATAGGGGCCCTATTTCATTGTTTTATAAGTGGAGATCCAGATGTTTAAATATGATTTATTGGAAAAACTGTTTTTTCCTGTTGAGTTCTTTTGGTATTCTTGTTGAAACTCAGTTGACTATAAATGTGAGGGTATATTTCTGAACTTGCCTTTCTATTGATTTGATCTGTATTTTAACCTTATACAGTACCACACTGTCTTAACTGCTGTGACTTTGTAATAAGTTTTGAAGTGTGAAATATGAGTTTTCCAACTTTGTTCTTCTTTTCCAAGAATCCTTTGACTGTTGTGGGTCCCT